CCTGTCAGAATATGTGCAGCGTGGTTGCAACAATTTGTTAGTGTATGTACCTTAATTTTAATAGACAGACTCCTGTAATGTCCTGAAATCTGGCCACCAGTACACAATTATGCGATAGATACTTCTGCAAGAAATTGTTTAACTATTTGTTAATTATGAAGGTTTAACATTGACTTAAGTATGTGCGCTGTTGGAATATATTGTTAAGAATTCGCTGACGATATTTAGCAGTAATGGTTTTTTAAAATATGTGTTTCACAATATTACCTTGGCTTGGCCTTTTATGGATGATTGTAAGTACCCATCGGATGGAACCTGTGTATCCATTTAGCCACTCTGAGTCCGGCATCGGCGTGTGGCGAGGGATCGTGTTAAACATGGTGATGTTTACCACCTTTGAGTTTAAGACAAGCCGCACCCTGGGTGAAATCAGGATTTTTTGTGCTGGAATTGCAGACATCTTTTGTATATCTGTAGTCAGTCAAAGAAAACAGTGATATAGAGAAATAAATTGCTACAGGCTCTAAGTTTAAAAGATTGCGTGCAACTGCTTCTGCACTAGTACATTTATTGCATTGTATTTCTAAAAGAACAGAAAAATATTACCCATAAAACTTAACATGGTGAATTGGAATATGGTTTCTTTATAAAAGCACAGAAACTGCTTCCTGCTTTGTTCTGTCAATCGTTTCTTTTGCCCATCTAGCCCAACACACCATGCTTTGTATAGTGACATGAATCTTTAGGTTATCTACGTTGGTTCTGGAACTGGGTTGGTACATAATGAGTGCATATCAACATCCTATCACCCATTACCTGAAACTCTGCTACAAGCAAAAAAGACAGTGAAATTTGTTGTTCCATCCAATATCTCACTAGCTCTTAACTCTGTTTCTCGATTCTTCACTTGGTTTATTTACCTGAACAGGGCTGTTCGTTTTCCAGTAGTAGTGGATCGGGAGCCTCGGCAGGTGGCCGCGAGTCGCTCATGTCCATGTGCGCCTCGGCCACTATTCGGTGAGACATTAAGAAAAAAACTGTACATTGCAGATGCTACCTTTGACAAGTGTCTTGATACAAGTGTACTTTAAAAATGCAGTGCATTGCATAGTGAGGGGGGGGGTCTTGATATTTCAATCATGCTTATTAGTATATATTGTGTGATGTAACATATTTTACGTGATATGTAACCTTGCTTTTTTGTTCAATGAAATTTTCCAGTTAATTAATAATGGCATTATACTCTGATAAATCATAATGCTTTCTTCTCACCGTTATTGCTGCGGTGTATTTTTAGATGCAGTTGACTGCAGGTACTTCAACACTTGTCCGTTCTTTGCCATTAGCTTGGCCTTTTGCCCATAGAGGCGGAGGACCTTGTAAGGTCCGGTATAGCTTTTGCCAAGGGTTAGGCCTTTTTTGTTCTTCTTTATCATGTTGACTTTGAGGACTATATCGTCTTCTTTAATAGGACTCGCCTAAATACCATGAAAAAACATGGTTTAAAGTAACATTGAAGTACATTGAATTTTAAGTACATTGCCAAACGTGACTTGTGAAAACCGTGATAGTGTTCCTTTAATGCCATAAGTGTTTGAACATTGGTAACTTAGCATTTATGATAAGCTATGAAAACGTATTTAATAAATTAATGGAAACTAACTGATTTTCACTTTCATTGATTTTCAAGGTCTTTTCTTATAAAGAAAGTACAAAGCAGCATACAGTTTATCTATTATTCTCGCATGTATGTGTGTGGGACTGTGTGCGTGAATGTGTAAGA